TTCCATCAAATCCCGGTTCATTCAGTGGTTCTCCTACACCGAAGTGGTCGTCGTAGAGGTCTCTTCTGTGGACCATTAGCTCAACGCTTCCGTCTTTAATACTCGATCCTCCCTGTGATCTGTCGTTCAAAACAGTCATTTGAATGTCTTGTTTGACATCTTTGATAGCAATACGACTGTTGACGGGATAGTAGTTTCCGGCGATCTCTTCATTGACAGTGAGTTTCCACGTCGGCCTGAAGTCACGCTTTCTCTCCAGAAGTTGTCGTCCATTGGCGTCGGTATAGAAGAGACCATTTGTGGTGAGGTTTGTCTCCCATCGAGAGATAATCTCTTTGCCGATCTTGTCGTCCACAGGAATGGGTCCGACGAGGAAATCAAATTCAATGACATCACTGTTTGGTGTAATTCTGATCACTTGTGAAATATAGTCTCCAATCGATTGGCGGACTTCCTTAACATCTGATGTCTCCACTAAATCGGCCATAAATGCAGTGTTGTTATAGAGCTGAGGAGTGTCTCCGTCTGGTCTGAAGATATAGGCTCCGGATGGCTGATGGAAGGAGTCGTTGTCGTTCTTTGCCTTATAGTACTCGAAGTTTTGCTTAAAGTCAACAACTTTTCCGTTCTTCAACTGAATTGCATTCAAAGCTCCGGTTTTGTCGAATAAAATGTTTAAAGATTTAGATTTTACGGCAAAGGCTTCCGTTATTTTAGTTACTTTCGCCTCATTTACTCTATTTTGTGGTGCATTTGCTTTTAACAGATAAGTTGCAAATCCAAGGGCCGGTACCTGTGCTTCAAACACCAGTTCATCCTTTGCTTTACTAACCCTTTCCTTCAGACTGAGTACAGCGGGAGGAATGGGAACGATATCTGATTTGACTGCAGTTCCCTTCGGATTTAAAACTTTGTAGGCTTTCGAAGTGACGGGTAGTCTGATAACTGGGTTGACATTATGTCCGAAAGGGTTATATACAGTAACCGCCAGATTATCAGTGCCTTCAGTGACAGCACAGGCGCTGATATTCAGTGCATTGCAATACAATTGAGTCAATTTCTGGTCGGCAATCAATGTATTGAGCGATTGACTCACAACTGACTGACATTTTTCAATAGTTTTATACAATTTAAGCGCATAATTATCGGCGACGTGTTGTTTCTCAGTACCGGAGACGGCGTCGTGATGTTGCATAACACCCATCCATTCCCTTAAGGGGGTCACCAGCGCCTCATTCTTACCATTTCCCTGAGTTAAGACATCCAACTGTTTGCAGACCTGAAGGAAATTATTGCCAACT